CAGAGACCTGTCCACCCATGTTCATTACAGCAGTGTTCACAAGAGACCAAAAGTGGAGACAACCTAAATGTCCACCACAGATAAAGAGAGAAACAAAATGTTCATAAATGCGATGGGATATTACTCATACAGAGTACATGTACACACCAAGAGTGAAGTAGTGATCCACACTACCACACTGTGGTGGTTAAGTTGTGTGTCAACCTGGCTGGGCCTGGTGGAGTGTCTGGGCAGCTGGATGTAGTATCCCCCATGATGAGACTAGTCATCAACTCCATGGTGGAATCTACTGTGAGCAGCTGAGTAGCTGCCTTAGGAATGTGGTCTGCTTCCTGTGTGTAAGGAGAAGCCTTGGGGAATGGTCTCTAGCTTATGGCACACTTGGACTCTGCATTTAGCTATGTCATTGCTCAGCAGCCTTCCATGATCTCCTGACCCTGGGACTTTCAATGCACTTAAATCAATGGCCTGCTGTGTGGTTTGGTAACATCAGGATGGTGCCTTTTTACTTATCAACCTTGGGCTTGTCAGCCTCAGCAGCCAGCAGCCATCTGAGTGAAGAAATACCTCTAGCTCCAGTGGACTGGGAGTAGGAGGCAGAGCTGAAGCCCAAGGTTGAGGGGCTTTCACCCAGTCCCCAGAGCCTGGCACTTTGAATTCAGACCTAAAGCCTCCAAATGTAAGAGAATGAACTCCTGTTTCTTCAAGCCATCCCATTTGTGGTATATTCCTGTCAGAGCAGCACAGAGGTAAACAAAACACACATGGACCTTGAAAACTTCATGCTGAGCAAAATACATTCGTTGCAAAAACAAATACCATGTGATCTCACTTATAGACTAACACATAAGCAACTAAAGATTATAATAGTTACCAGGGGTGGAAGGGAGGAGAGAAGGGGAGCCTTTGTTAAGGGCACTGAGTTGATGTTAATGGTGGTGGAATGATCTGGAAGAAGCCAACTAGAAGAATACAGTCGATGTTACTGAATTGCACGTGTCAAAATGATTCAGATGGTGTGTGATTTGCGATGTACGTGTTCACCATGATTAACTAAAACAAGCCCATGCAGCACAGTCATCTGACACCCTTGGGGTCACTATGAGTCCATGTCTACTCAACAGCCACTAGTTTTTTTTTGTTTGTTTGTTTTTTTGAGAGCGTTTAGGAAGGGAAGGGCATTGTCTGGGATCACTAAGGGTAGCACATCTTTTGGGCACACGCCTCCTCTCCTTGTGGGCTGGAGCCAACTGCAGACACGTGGCACCCCTAGCACCTGTGGTGGGACCAACCCTCAGGGCTGGGCGCAGATGACAGCCCAGCAAGGCATAGAGGTCTGCCCTTGATTAAAGATATCACCATAGAGGCAGGTTCCTAGGGCTACGCCCTTGGTCCCAGGTGTTAAAATAAAATGTACATCTGGGGACAAGAGTGAGTGCACTCCATGACGGACACGGACCCCGGGAGGACATCCCCAGGCAAGGGAACAAGGGAAGATTTCTGGGGGAGAATCTGGATTTCTGGATGCAAGATGGAGCAGAGGGTAGGAACACCTGGCTTGACCAAAACAAAACCAAACTCATTGCCGTCAAGTTGAATTCGACTCATAGTGACCCCTCCATGGGTTTCCGAGGGAGTATCTCTACAGAAGTAGATTACCCCGTCTTCCTTCTAAGGGATGGCTGGTGGGTTTGAACTGCCAGTCTTCTAGTTAGTAGTCAAATGCCTTAGACATTACGCCACCAGAGCTTCCATCCAAAAAAGAAAAACCCACTGCTATGAAGTTGATTCTGACTCACAGCGCCCCTAGAGGACAGAGTGGAACTGCCCCAGAGGGTTTCCAAGGCTGTGAATCTTCACCAAAGCTGACGGCCTCATCTTCCCCCTGCAGAGCAATTGGTGGGTTTGAACTGCCGACCTTTTGGTTAGCAGCCAATTGTTTTAACCACTGTGCCACTGGG